GCATACCAACAGAATCACTGCAACATGACCATCTGCAGGTCATTTATTTTTTTAACATGCCAATATTAAAGAATTTTATGCCAAGGCCAATCATTAACACATTATTTCCAATGATTGTCCATGATTGGCATGCCAATGATTGGCTCATGATGGACAATCACTTTTGTCTCCTGCCAATATAATGGCTCAACTTCCATACGTGCTGCCATCCAAACTTTTCAATTCCAATTCCCTTTTTTTTCCCCATCAATTAGAATAATAATAACAAGAAATAAAATGATAAAATAAGATAAAAATCAGCCCTTAAATCAATGTACACCATCAGAAAGTCGGTAGGAAATTTTTTTAGAAGGATCTGCCATTTTTTTCTTTTAATTATAATTGATACCAATTGTTCTTCCCACTTTGATATTAACTATCCATGTAATAATATAATAACAGCAACAAACCAAATTACTCTAACAACATACCTTGGTAGAATTGAAAAGTGATGAGAAGTTCCTTGTTTTCGTTAGCAGAGGTTATTGTTTCTCCTCTCGTTTGTCACTTACGGTAAGTTTCTGCCTCCACCCCCTTTTTATTTTCTAAACAAGAGTTTATTAACCATGAAATCCCACTAACCTATTTTCTAATTATTTATTTAATGAAAGTTTCATCAATTGGGTACTCATAGTTATCTAATAGTTCAAAAATACCCCTTTAAATTTTCAAAAGGAGTCAAACTAGTCCTAGTTCTCAAAACGACCTAGCGGGTCATTACACAGTATATGCAGTTTCTATATTTGCTATGAAGCGCAATTATGCAAACTTTGCTATAGCATACAAATATGAATTTTTTATTGAAAAAGTTGTGAAGAATGACATACTAAGGAAGGTAATTATACTAATTAAATCTCCTTTCATTTATTTCCTTTAAAGAGCAAACTTAAAGTTAATTTGCTATACTAGGTCCCATGTTTTGTATAGAAAAATTTCCCCAAAACAAAACTCTCCTTCTTCTCTCTTCGTCCGTCCATTTTATACAATTTCGTCTTCTTCCTTCAATTTCTCCACACTTTTCTCCACAATTGCAAGTTGAAACTTGCAACTTCTCCTAGCACGCACATTAGAGCAGTTTTCCAAAATAATTTAAAAATATCAAGGTACCGCATAAAACCTACTTACATTGTCAGTTTTTGTTTTTTTTTTAATTTTTTAAAACTAATTTTTCACTTCAAGTGTTAATCGCTTCAGAATTTTGGTTTGATGCCCAATCTCCATCGAAGAGATTTACAAGAGGTAGACCATTGCATGCTCAAATTGATGTTGAAAATCCGTCGTTTTCATTGGGTCTAACTCAGGAATTTGGGGAGATTTCAGGTTCATTGTCTAAATCTACTAACATGCAAGATATTAGTTCCAATTTCAATAATGACCCAATTAGTTTTGTTGATGGAAGTCTGAAGAATACTGTTGATGTTGTTACTGGGTCTAAAAAGAAAAGAAAACATAAAACTGATGTTCATATCTCTAACAATGATAAAAATGAAGGTGTTGGTTCTGGGTCAATTGAGCATAAGGTATGTGTATAATAATTGTTCATATGTTTAGTTTTTATGTTGATACATGTCTTTATACAATTATAAATATATAAATGTATAATATATATTCGTACATGTTTTTTTGTGTTTATGTTGATTTGTGCCTCATACAATTTTTTTATAAATGTATAATGTCTTAATACTTGATTTCTATTCATGTCTTATAATGCTTAAATTACTGCCTCATTATACAACTGTGTCTATAAGTATGTAATTTAGTCTGTCTAATTTAATGTCTCATTATACAATTGTTTTAAAAGTGTATAATTTATTCTGACTAATTTACTGGCTCATTATATAACTGTGTGTATAAGTGTATAATTTATAATGTCTAAAATAATGCCTCATTATACAACTGTGTGTATAAGTGTGTAATTTAGTCTGTCTAATTTACTGCCTCATTATACAATTGTTTTAAAAGTGTATAATTTATTCTGATTAATTTACTGCTTTATTATACAACTGTGTGTTTAAGTGTATAATTTATTCTGACTAATTTACTGTCTCATTATACAATTGTTTTAAAAGTGTATAATTTAGTCTGTTTGATTTACTGCCTTATTATACAACTGTGTGTATAAGTGTATAATTTATTCTGACTAATTTACTACCTCATTATACAACTGTGTGTATAAGTGTATAATTTATATATATTTGTGTCTAATACCACTATTTTTTTTTTAGTAAAATGAATATGATTTTTTCCAGGATGTTAAGTATTTAGGTCAAAGAGAACAAACAAGAATTCCGCACATGCACTGTTATACAAATATTGACGTTATGAATGTTCTATCTTCAAAGCTTACTGAGTCACAGTACAGACAATTCTGTGGAAATACATGTTTTGCTCAACTATGTAGCATTCGTCAATTCTGTGGAAATACATGTTTTGCTCAACTATGTAGCATTCGTCAATTCTGTGGAAATACATGTTTTGCTCAACTATGTAAGCATTCGTCAATTCTGTGTAAATACATGTTTTGCTCAACTATGTAGCATTTGTAGGTGTCACGTTCAGGCACAACTAATTAGGTGCATGTTTTTTAGAGAAATTGAAGGTAGCTCAAAAGATGCAATCCTGATACATGTCAATGACACTACTCTGCGTTTCACAATTCGCGACTTTGCTTTAATAACTAGGTTAAAATGTTCAGATAACAAGAATGATTTGTCTTTAATACTGATGAACGAAATAGGATTATTCATCAATATTTTGAAGTTGGAAAACCCATCACCAAGAGTCAATTGATTGACAAGTTTGATAAAAAAAATTTGGATAGATAATGATGATGATGCTGTTAAATTTGTAATATTGTTCTACATTCATTCATTCATCTTTTCTGAAGAATCAACTGGTACTATAATTGATAGAAAAGATTTTGATTTAGTTGAATCAGGCAGATACATTGACTATCCTTGGGGTAAAAAGGTTTTTGATATAATGATTCTGCATTTGCATAGTAAGATCAAACATGATGGGAAGTATAACGATAATTCCTAATAATAGCACAAAGACAAAATAAAGAAAAATGATTAGCACAATTAATAAGACATAACAACTTTATTCCATATTGAAAATACTAACTCATACTGTTTTAACACAAAACTACTTTAGAATAAAATTCAATTATATATCAAATCAAATTTTACAGTTCAATAGAATCGTAAAAACTTGTTAAACTTCTTGAGGTCTATTTCTACATGAACGCCTATTTTGACCTGCAAATTCACATGTACTACATGTATACTTTCCTCTTAGTCCAAGCAATTCACGTTTAGTTTTTGAACGGGGTTTATTTTTAGGCCTTCCGGGAGGTCTTTTGAATTTTGGAGGTCGGACTTCATCATACATTATGGCTTCAGGTATGACCCATTCTGAAAAGGAAGGCAATGGATAGATCGGTATCTCATAAATCTTCAAAATCGTCTTTGGTTTATACAAATCTGAGCAATATCCATCGGCTACTAGACTTTTCTGCTTCAATACCGCCCAAGCATGTTCACAAGGAATTTCTTCATATTGAAACTTCCCACAGCTGCATGTTTTGTTCTTTAAACAGACCACAAAACTCCTACCATCATCAGTCACATTGTATATGTATTCAGTTGACGGCACAACCTGCTTCACACAAATAGATTTATGTATATGTATAAGTCTATACAATTTCTATCCGTGTGCATAACTCATTAATTAATAATATATATACATAAAACGTACCCCCATTCGTGTGCTCAATGCTTTTCCAATCAACGGAGTAAATGTGCAGCATTTATGCTCTCTGCAATGTTAGACGTCATAGCCCATCCCCGATGAGTTTCTGGATGACACCTTGACCACTTATCATATCCAGCTAGCTCCAAATACTCTTTAACACCTACATCAACTTTTTTTACAGTATCCATCAGCCTGTCAAACTCAACTTTGTTGCAAGTCTTTGCCATTGTATAATACGCAGGACTTCGCTCCTTGGATGCCTTCCTAAATTTCTTCTCAACATTACCCCACAAGTACCACATACAAGCATAATGTGGCACATTTCTATACACTTGAGTCACTGCCTTTATGATACTTACATTTCTATCTGACACTACTCACATATTAATCCTTTCACCATAAGCCTCCTTTAGTTGTAGAAAAAATTAAAATCAAGCTGCATCATTTTCTGAAAAACACTAAAAAAAAGAGACTTTTTTTAATCCCTTATTTAACGCTTAAACTGATAAAAACAACTTAATAATTTAAGTATCATGTCGTTTTTAAATAAAGTATTTGCTTACAATATTATGTATCCGAAAAACACTAAAAAAAGAGACTTTTGATAATTAATAAAAGAATAGGGATAGGAAGTAATTTCTTTCTTACACTATGTGATTTGCCTAATTTTTACAATTTAAAATGAGAAAACTATACAAAATGGACCCGATTGTAAAAATATTTATTTAAAAAGGATCCAATTCAATATATTTATCATTAAACCTTAATGGATTCATGACCCAAATTTTTAAGTATAACTTACATAAATCATAGTGTAAGGAGTAAATTACATTATGCTTTTTACACAATTCGGATACATAACTCACAACTCGAATACATTAATGTTGATACATTATGTGATAAACTGTTACGTTGAAAAAGAAAAAATAAACTAGAAAATCCCATGAATTTGTTAAACAATAGAGACATTTTTAACCAAACTATTAACGAGGAACATGCTTAGACCTAATAAATTTTATTTTAAAAGAAATATTTTTCTTGTTTCTTTTATTTTGAAATTCCTCTAGCTAATAAAAAAGTGGAAGTTAAATTATTTTTTTCCTGCTACATTTCTTTTTATCAATAACAAACGAAAGACTAAAAAGTAAATGCACAAGATAAAAGTATTTAGAGAGACATTGATATATTGCTCAACTTCAAAGTGATATATAAACAAACTGAAATAACTTATTATATATAATTTATAGAAGAACAAAATTAAAGTTGCATGCATGCAGTGTTGTTTACAAAACCTGCTTATTGGAGTTACAAATAAACATCCACAATTAAGTGTGACAGAAATATAAGCATTCTAGTGGATAATAATTTCCTTATTTTGCCCTTTAATTTGCTTTTATTCTTCAATGGGATCATCAAGCACCATAGAAATGACTTCTTTTAAGTTATTTTTCGAAAAAGTATAAGCATCTTCGTCTTTATAAACAAACTCTGCCACCCTCGTAAGGTTGAGCACTGGCATGAGCAAAACTCTTGGTACTGTTGTAGGTTTTAGGCATCCTCTATTCAAATCCTTCCAATTATTCTCTATTATTTTCCTTATCTCCATGTAAGCTTCTTCTTTTGTGGCACCATACTCGTTCATGTAACATTCAATACTTGAAGCTACATCTCCTCTTTCTATTTCTCTCTGAGAATCACATGAGCAACAACCATTAGACAAGAGACTTAAATTTTAACGAAAAAGAATTGAGCGAATAATCATATACCTCATGTGATACAATATCGTTTAACAATCTTGCAATGTTAGAGGAAGCAACAAGAATTGGAGGTTCAGTTGAAATCCATTCGAATGCCTCTTTGGTTGCTTCATCACCCATGCCTAACCAAGAAGCAGTAGCTAGAGTTGGGTTAGCGCTACTTTGAATTCCATTCTTCATATACTCCTCCTCCATTTTGGGGACTGTGTTCCCATGATACCATTTTGCCTCTTGAAAATAAGCTCTCACCAACTTTTTCATCTGAAATTAATAACGTACCTTAAGACTTTTTAATCTTGTGATCCTAAATTAAACATGTCATATGTATCACATAATAATTACCTCACTAATAGCAAAGTTGACTCGAAATGACTTGTTCTCCTTTTCCAACTCTTTCTCTACTTCATTGTAAAAATGTAGGAGACCAGTGTAAAAGAGTTTCATATACGACGTTAGATTTTCTGTAGCGTCGAGGTTCCACCTATTGTATACGTACAAATTACAATATACGTGATGTTATTGAAAAATGATACTCTTATTTGGAAAATAAACTGAAATGAAGATACCTTTCTATTGCGTTTGTGAGGAGAGTAAGTTCATGCAGTGTTCCATAAGTATCATAGATGTCATCAGTAATTGAAACGAAACATAACACTTTGGTTAGTATATTCCTGGCAACCTTATACTGTGGCTCAAAGTACACACCCAAACACCAAAAGTACAACTCAACCACTCTGTCTCTTGCAAAAGCTAATTCATTTGCCAAGTCCAATTCTTTCCACCACCTAATATGTTAAGTTAAATATCAAAATCTATATATTTTTTTTAATTAAAACAATGTAGTAATATTATTGAAGCTAGTTACCTTGTGATATCACACAACTCCCTTTTATGCATCTTCTGCAATATACTGAAGTCCAATTTTGCAAAATTTATTAACACTTGATCACATGATGATTCCTCTTCTTGGTAAAACGATATGTATTTTCTAGTTGCTACTCTGGCTATGGTTTTGTTGATTGGATATTTTAGGGCATAGCTGACTTGCATCGATAGAGAATTACTCAATTTAGGCAACAATAGCTTCAAATGAGTGGTGGCGAAATTAATTGCTTCATCCAAAATTTCTTCATCATGTACCCTGAATTGTGCTGCCTCGTACAAGCTTAATAACCCGGGCGTGTCATTAACCAATGCTTTATTATAATTTCCTTGGTCATCGGTGAACTTTCTAAAAACATCTGTTCTAGACCAAAAGTGTTAAAAGCTTCTTTTGTTTTTAAACTTATATGTCAGATAGTGTCACACAATATTAATTGGATTGGATGACGTATTACTTACCAGATGAGACATAGTAACCTTGTTGCCTAAGTAATCGAAAGCTTAGAGCAACAACATGAAGGTCATGACTTTCACCAATCCATTCTTCATGACCATTATAGATTTCACTCAATGATTCCTCAATCTCATGTTCAAAATGGTATGACACTCCAAGCAATTGGATTGTGTTTATAAGTTCAAGTTTTTGCAAAGATTTGGAAGGAGAAATCACTAGCATTTTTCTCACTTGTTCTTTTAGATCCTTATGTTCCTTCTCTTCCCATTCATTGGCTCCCTATACGCGTAAATAAATAACTTTGTTTAGATATATATTTCTTTGTGCTCCAAAAATTATTTGCAAACTTACGGATCAAGAGTGTTTCAACTGAAAACAAAAGCATTCAATTTTTTATAATTTTGTCGAAGAGTTTTAGTTTCTCAGTGCAATACATGTTTACATTATTAGGTCATATTTATTTTTGCCTATTGTGGCAGATAATGGTCTCCCCAAACAGTAGGATGATGATTGTCACTCCGACGTGTTATGTCACTCTCACCACCAAATCCATCCATTTTTTTAGACGTAGTTTTTGTAGAGTTTAGAGTAGAAAAACTAAGGACGTAATAATATGGTTAATTAAGGTTTGATGACAGTAGTAGAAAGTAAGAGAAGTGAATTACATAAACAAGTTTTCTTTAAATTACTACTTCACACAGACATATATCAGCCTATTTATAAAGATCTAATTTAGCTAGGGTGCACATGAAATTTGACTACTCTCATCATCAAAAGCAAAAATGTTAGTGGTCTGTGGGTTTACAATATGTGTGTTTAATTCGAGTTAGGATTTCACATAGTGGTGGAGTCGTAATTTTTAAGAAGGGGTTCAAAGTTTCTTAAAAAATAGACGCACAAAGTAGCCAATGGAGTTCGCACGAAGAAGCCGAAGGAACTCGACATCTACTATATATACCTAAAAAATTGTCACGACCCAAATCGGGCCGCGACTGGCACCCACACTTACCCTCTTATGTGAGCGAAACAACCAATCTAACCCTAATATTTTAACATAATAACAGAAAATAATGCGGAAGACTTAAACTCATTAATGAAAATCAATTCAATAAACTTCTAAAAAACTCAACAACTATTATTTCCCAAAATCTGGAAGTCATCATCACAAGAACATCTATCCTCAAATTACTAAAGCTAAGAGTATCTAAGAAACTAAACATAAATAATAGCTAGTCTATGCCAGAACTTCAAGGCATCAAGACATGAAGAAGAAGATCCAGTCCAAGCTAGAAGCTTTAGCTCACCCTGAAATCTGGTGTGACGAAGACTGGCTAGAGTTGCGGTTGAGTTGAAGATGACGGTACGTTTGCTGCACTCCACAATGAACAAAAAGAAAACATACAAGTAGGGGTCAGTACAAGACACGGGTACTGAGTAGATATCATCGGTCAACTCAAAATAGAAAACAGTATATATCAGATAATATCATAAAATCAACTACAATACTCAACATGCGGCATTTACAATTACCATAACCCTTGGTCGCAACACCAAGCTCATCAATGAGGACTCACGCCTCCCCATCATACCCATTTGGGAATTAAGTTCATTAAATTGAGTATATTAACATATTTCAAGATTCATTCCCTTTACTAATCCTGGTGTCGGAACGTGACACTCCGATCCTCATATACTATCCTGGTACCGAAACGTGGCACCCGATCCATATTCTATCTTGGTGTCGGAACGTGACACTCCGATCCTCATATACTATCCTGGTACCGGAACGTGGCACCCGATCCCCTAATCTCACTACTTTCGTTCATCAAGCCTTCTTTTATACCAAGGCATCATCATTAACAAAGTAGATTAGGGTTTCTTTTTCAAGATTTAGGATTCAATAGTTTCATCATGCTTATTTTATCACAATTATATAATCACATTCATGCAAGCATACAATTAAGCATATAGAAGGGTTTACAACACTACCCAATACATATCATTCGCTATTAAGAGTTTACTACGAGTAACATAAAAACCATAACCTACCTCCACTGAAGAATTTTGATCAAGCAAGCAATTTCCCAAAGGTTTGTTCTTCTTCCTGTTTCTCCTCTTTCTCGTTCGATCCCCTCTTTCTCTCTCTTTCTGTTCTTTTCTTTTTCTTATTCAAACCCTCTTTCTTTTACCCTAATTAGCATATAATTAAGTATAAAAGATGGTGAATTAACCCATTAATTAATTCAAGGTTATCTCTTTTAACCCTCAAGTAGTTAAATTATTAACATTAACCCACTAAATTTATAATTATAGCAGGAATAGTCCAAAACGTCCCTTAAAACATTTAAAGAAATCCGACCTCGCCTGGGATTACGCAGCCTGTGACGGGCCGTCGTGCCTGCGACGGTCCATCCTGCTGCTCCGTCACAGAGTTCAGAGATTCACTTTTTATTTAAGACCCTGTGACGGTCCGTCCTGCACTTTCGTCACGAAGTTCAGAGAGTCGATTTCAGTACCCAATTTTCAGAATTCTAAGTATTTTGGAACGAGACACCCTCGATGGTCCGTCGTGCCCATGACGGTCCGTCGTGGGTTCTGTCGTCTCAACCAGTTTTTCCAGAAATAAAATCTGCTGCTCAAACGACTAAGCAGGTCGTTACAAAAATATTTTAACCATGTACAAATAATATAATTTTCCGCTGAAGAAGGTTCGAATAAACCCCTTAACTATAGGGTGGCTCCGCCACTTATTCTACGTGGTGTGTTCAATTCTAAATAGGATTTTTGGAGCCTACTCAATCCTAAACCTTAATTCATGCCTATATAATGGATATTCTAATATTCCAAAAATTCATAAAATATTCATAATATTCCATACATATACAAGTTTTTGTTTAAGTTACTACTTCACATAGACATAAGCCTATTTACAAAGATTTGAATTGGTGGTTCCTCTCACCACCAAATTCATCCATTTTTTCTACTTAGTTTTTGTAGAGTTTGCAGTAGAGAAACTGAAGACGTAAAATATGTTTAATCAAGGTTTGATAACAGTAGTAGGAAGTAAGAGAAGTGAATTATATACATATATAAGTTTTTGTTTAATTTACTACTTCAGAAGTAAATTACGTACATACACAACTTTTTGTTTAAGTTACTACTTCACATAGACATAAGCCTATTTACAAAGATTTGAATTGGTGGTCCATCTCAACACCAAATTCATCCATTTTTTCTACATAGTTTTTGTAGAGTTTGGAGTAGAGAAACTGAAGACGTAAAATATGTTTAATCAAGGTTTGATAACAGTAGTAGAAAGTAAGAGAAGTGAATTATGTACATATACAAGTTTTTGTTTAATTTACTACTTCAGGAGTAAATTACGTACATACACAACTTTTTTGTTTAAGTTACTACTTCACATAGACATAAGCCTATTTACAAAGATTTGAATTGGTGGTCCATCTCACCACCAAATTCATCCATTTTTTCTACATAGTTTTTGTAGAGTTTGGAGTAGAGAAACTGAAGACGTAAAATATGTTTAATTTAATCAAGGCTTGATAACAGTAGTAGAAAGTAAGAGAAGTGAATTATGTACATATACAAGTTTTTGTTTAATTTACTACTTCAGAAGTAAATTACGTACATACACAACTTTTTGTTTAAGTTACTTCTTCACATAGACATAAGCCTATTTACAAAGATTTGAATTGGTGGTCCATCTCACCACCAAATTCGTCCATTTTTTCTACATAGTTTTTGTAGAGTTTGGAATAGAGAAACTGAAGACGTAAAATATGTTTAATCAAGGTTTGATAACAATAGTAGAAAGTAAGAGAAGTGAATTTTGTACATACACAAGTTTTTGTTTAAGTTACTACTTTAGAAGTAAATTACGTACATATACAAGTTTTTGTTGAAGTTACTACTTCACATAGACATAAACCTATTTACAAAGATTTGAATTGGTGGTCCCTCTCACCACCAAATTCATCCATTTTTCCTACTTAGTTTTTGTAGAGTTTGGAGTAGAGAAACTGAAGACGTAAAATATATTTAATCGAGATTTGATTACAGTAGTAGAAAGTAAGAGAAGTGAATTACGTACATACACGAATTTTTGTTTAAGTTACTACTTCACATAGACATAAGCCTATTTACAAAGATTTGAATTGGTGGTGCCGTGGTAATTCATAAGTTAAGGCGCACATGAAATTTGACCACTATCATCATCAAGAGCAAACATGTTAGGTAGTGATGGTAGATATTGAAATTTTGTGGCATGTTTAATTTGAGTTGAGATTCTATAAGGTGTGTCAATTTCCATTACGATTTTTGAGCCTACTTAACCTTAAATCTATATTCACGCCTATATATAGAGCATTACATCCCCTAAAAGGCATCTTGAACATTCAAAAAAATATCAAATTTAGATCATCCTAGTTTGATAAATACACAAATTTCTTAGGAGAGAAGAATCAAGAAAGGAACAAAATTGTACCCACACTATTTACTAATAAAATTATGTTTCTTCATATTTTATTTGTGATTGAAATTTATTTTCTGTAACTTTAAAATTTGTTACAAACGCTGACACTATTTAGGGTGGCCATTATATCTAACAAGTCCCAACTTTTATCGTCAAGGGCAAAAATGTTAGTGGTCTCTATTGTGTTTTTGGGGGAAAAAAATACTGTAGTTATTGTTGAGTCGTAAAATATCTTCTCAAAATCTGAAAACATAACTTTCTCTATCGAAACATAAAATTTAAACTATGATAACATGATTTGGCATTCAAATTGACCAAGAGATTAGCATAGGCAAGAAAATGGTCTCTCAACAACACAGTTGGATGATGATTGTCACTCCAACGTATAATCTTGACCTCACCACCAAATCTGTCCATTTTTCTTTTATTTTCTTATTAATGAGTTTGGATTAATAGAGAAACTAAAGACATAATAATATGCTTAAGGTTTTATTACAGCTGGCCTTTCTCAACTTGAAGCTCAAATGGTGGGAAAACCACTGAACAAGTATTTTCTTTAATTAATTGATTTGGACTCGAGCTCTTATGTACTATGGGGTACGCCCTCATTTTTAGAAGAATGAACTAATTTGATTTGCAACGAAATTTAGAAAAAATAAGATTTTTTTTTTAAATATAGTTCTGAGCTAAAGTTATATAAAGTATATATATTTTTATATTAAGTCTTAATTTTATATAAATTATAACCTCTACGAAATTGAATACAAAAATTTCATCAAAACAATTATCGAGGTTATAGCCCAAAAAAGTGAGGTACTAAAATTTATTAGAGGAGGGTTAAAAACCCCACAAAATGGAATAAAATTATTTATTGAAAAAGAAATGACGGAGATTCAAATCCCCGCTAATTGTTGATTAAAGGGGTTACTTAAAAACTCCTGCTACTTAATTGTGACAACTATAACTGTGGGAATTGCTGAAACCCCTATAACAACAAATTGTGGGGGTTTTACTTTTTATAATTTTAACTACTGCGATTTGCCCCTTTTTTGTAGTGATATCAAAATGTCTTTGATTTGATCTTATGGTATTAAACATGTCACGTCATCAATTTATTTAATATAAAAAATTAATCCAATTTTTTTAAGAAATATGATTTTTTTTATTAAAAAATTTGATGACGTGACCGAATTA